AGAAGAAGAAGCAGAAGCAGAAGAAGAAGCAGAAGCAGAAGAAGAAGCAGAAGCAGCAGCAGAAGCCGAAGCAGCAGAAGAAGCAGAGCAGAAGAAGCAGAAGCAGCAGAAGCAGAAGCAGAAGAAGCAGAAAAACAGAAGCAGAAGCAGCAGAAGAAGAAGAAGCAGCAGAAGAAGCAGAAGAAGCAGAAGCATCAGAAGAAGCAGAAGCAGACAGAAGAAGCAGGAGCAGACAGAAGAAACAGAAGCAGACAAAAGCAGAAGATGCAGAAACAGAAGAAGCAGAAGCAGAAGAAGCAAAAGCAGAAGAAACAGCCAGAATCAGTCAGGAGCAGCAGAAACAGTCAGAGGCAGAAGCAGTCAGAACAGAAGCAGAAGAAGCAAAAGCAGAAGCAGCAGCAGAAGCAGCAGCAGAAGAATCAGAAGCTGCAAAAAGCAGACAGAAGTAGAAGCAGAAGAAGCAGAAGCAGAAGAAGAAGAAGAAGCAGAAGCAGAAGAAGCAGACAATTACAGAAGCAGAGGAGCAGACAGAAGCAGAAGCAGAAGAAGCAGTAGAAGCAGAAGAAAAAGCAGAAGATGCAGAAGCAGAAGAAGCTGAAGAAGCAGAAGCAAAAGAAGCAGAAGCAGAAGAAGCAGAAGAAAGAAAGAAATTGATGCAGTAGCAGAAGAAGCAGACAGAACCAGAAGCAGAAGAAGCAGAAGAAGCAGAAGCAGAAGCAGCAGACAGAAGCAGAAGAAGAAGCAGAAGAAGCAGAATCAGAAGAAGCAGAAGAAGAAGCAGAAGCAGAAGAAGCGGATCAGAAACAGAAGATGAATAAACAGAAGAAGCAGAAGCAGCAGAAGAAGCAGAAGCGGAAGAAGCAGAAGAAGCAGAATCAGCAGAAGAAGCAGAAAAAGCAGAAGCATTAGAAAAACAGAAGCAGCAGAAGCAGAAGCCGAAGAAGCAGAAGAAGAAGAAGCAGAAGAAGAAGAAGCAGAAGCAGTAGAAGCAGCAGAAGAACAGCAGAGAGAAGCAGAAGCAGCAGGCAGAAGAAGAAGCAGAAACAGAAGAAGCAGAAGCAGAAGCAGAAGAAGCAGAAGCAGAAGAAGCAGAAGCAGAAGCAGAAGAAGCACAATCAGAAGAGCAAAAAGCAGAAGAAACAGAAGCAGAAGTAGAAAAAGCAGAAGCAGAAGCAGTAGAAGAAGGAGCAGACAGAAAAAGCTGAAACAGACAGAAGCAGATGCAGAAGAAGCAGAAACAGAAGAAGCAGAAACAGAAGAAGCAGAAGAAGCAGAAGCGGAAGAAGCACAAGCAGAAGAAACAGGCAGAGGCATTCAGAGGCAGAAGCAATTTGAAACAGAGCAGAAGAAGCAGAATAAGGAACAGCAGCAGAAGCAGAAGCAGAAAGAGAAGCAGAAGCAGCAGAATAAGCAGAAGCAAAGAAGCAGAAACAGAATCCGAATCAGAAGAAGCAGAAGCAGTAGCAGAAGCAAAAGCAGAAGAAGCAGAAACTGAAGAAGTAGAAGCAGAAGAAGCAGAAGAACAGAAGCAGAAGAAGCAGAAGCAGCAGAAGCAGAAGCAGAATAAGCAGAAGAAGAAGCATCAGCAGAAGCAGAAGCTGAAGAAACTGACAGAAGCAGAAGCAGGAGAAGCAGACAGAAGCAGAATAAGCAGAAGAAGGAGCAGCAGCAGAAGCAGAAGCAGAATAAGCAGAAGAAGGAGCAGCAGCAGAAGCAGAAGCAGAATAAGCAGAAGAAGGAGCAGCAGCAGAAGCAGAAGCAGAATAAGCAGAAGAAGGAGCAGCAGCAGAAGCAGAAGCAGAATAAGCAGAAGAAGGAGCAGCAGCAGAAGCAGAAGCAGAATAAGCAGAAGAAGGAGCAGCAGCAGAAGCAGAAGCAGAATAAGCAGAAGAAGGAGCAGCAGCAGAAGCAGAAGCAGAATAAGCAGAAGAAGGAGCAGCAGCAGAAGCAGAAGCAGAATAAGCAGAAGAAGGAGCAGCAGCAGAAGCAGAAGCAGAAGAAGCAGGCAGAAGAAGTCAGAAGCAGGCAGAAGCAGTCAGAGTCAGAAGCAGTCAGAAGCAGAAGCAGAAGAAGCAGAATCAGAAGCAACAGCAGAAGAAGCAGAAGCAGCAGAAGAAGCAGACAGAAACAGCAGAAGAAGCAGACAGAAGCAGAAGCAGAAAAAGCAGAAGAAGCAGAAAGAGAAGCAGAAGAAGCAGAAGAAGCAGAAGCAAGAAGAAGCAGAAGCAGAAGCAGAAGGCAGAAAGGAAGCAGGAGTAGGAGAAGAAGCAGAAGCAGAAACAGAAGAAGCAGATGCAGAAGAAACAGAAGAAGTAGAAGCAGAAGAAACAGAAGCAGAAGATTGAGAAGAACAAGAAGCAGAAGCAGCAGCAGAAGAAGCAGAAGAAGCAGAAGTATCAGAAGCAGCAGAAGCAGAAGCAGATGAATGAGAAGCAGTAGCAGAAGAAGCAGAAGCAGCAGAAGAAGCAGAAGTACCAGAAGCAGAAGCAGAAGAAGCAGAAGAAGCAGATGAAGAAGAAGCAGAAGCAGAAGAAACAGAAGCAGAAGATTGAGAAGAACAAGAAGCAGAAGCAGCAGCAGAAGAAGCAGAAGAAGCAGAAGTATCAGAAGCAGCAGAAGCAGAAGCAGATGAATGAGAAGCAGTAGCAGAAGAAGCAGAAGCAGCAGAAGAAGCAGAAGTACCAGAAGCAGAAGCAGAAGAAGCAGAAGAAGCAGATGAAGAAGAAGCAGAAGCAGAAGAAACAGAAGCAGAAGATTGAGAAGAACAAGAAGCAGAAGCAGCAGCAGAAGAAGCAGAAGAAGCAGAAGTATCAGAAGCAGCAGAAGCAGAAGCAGATGAATGAGAAGCAGTAGCAGAAGAAGCAGAAGCAGCAGAAGAAGCAGAAGTACCAGAAGCAGAAGCAGAAGAAGCAGAAGAAGAAGATGAAGAAGAAACAGAAGCAGAAGAAGAAGAAGAAGCAGAAAAAGAAGAAGCAGAAAAAGAAGAACAAAAAGCAGCAGAAGCAGCAGAAGCAGCAGAGAGAAGCAGAAGAAGCAGAAGTAGCAGAAGCAGAAAAAGAAAAAGCAGAAGCAGAAGAAGCAGAAGCAGATGAAGAAGAAGCAGCAGAAGAAGCAGAAGAAGAAGAAGCAGCATAAGCACGAGCAGAAAAAGCAGAAGCAGAAGGAGCAGAAACATAAGCAGAAGAATCATGCAGAAGCACAAGAAGCAGGCAGAAGCAGTCAGAAACAAAAGCAAAAGAGAAGAAGCAGGATCAGCAGAAGCAGCAGACGCAGAAGAAGCAAAAGCAGAAGAAGCAGACGCAGCAGAAGCAGAAGAAGCAGAAGCAGAAAAGCAGCAGAAGAAACCGAAGAAGCAGAAGAAAAAGAAGCAGAAGCAGAAAAAACAGAAGCAGAAGAAGCAGAATCAGAAGAAGCAGAAGCAGAAGAAGCAGAAGGAGAAGAAGCAGAAGAAGCAGAAGCAGAAGAAACAGAAGCAGAAAAAGCAGAAGCAGAAGCAGAGAGAAGCAGACAGAAGCAGAAGAAACAGAAGCAGAAGCAGCAAAAGAAGCAGAAGCAGCAGAAGCAAAAGAAACAGAATAAGAAGAAGCAGAAGCAGAAGAAGAAGAAGCAGAAGCAGAAGAAGCATAAGAAGCAGAAGCAGCAGAAGCAGAAGAAGCATAAGAAGCAGAAGCAGCAGAAGCAGAAGAAGCATAAGAAGCAGAAGCAGCAGAAGCAGAAGAAGCATAAGAAGCAGAAGCAGCAGAAGCAGAAGAAGCATAAGAAGCAGAAGCAGCAGAAGCAGAAGAAGCAGAAGAAGAAGAAGCAGAAGCATAAGAAGAAAAAGAAGAAGAAGAAGAAGCAGGAGCAGAAGAAGAAGCAGAAGCAGAAGAAGCAGAAGAAGCAGAACCAGAAGCAGAAGAAGAAGAAGCAGAAGCAGAAGCAGTAGAATCAGATGAAGCAGAAGCAGCAGAAAAAGCAGAAGCAGAAGAAGAAGCAGAAGCAGATGAAGCAGAAGCAGAAGAAGTATCAGAAGCAGAAGAAGCAGAAGCAGAAGGAGAAGAAGCAGAAGCAGAAGGAGAAAAGAATCATAAGCAGAAGAAGGAGCAGCAGAAGAAGCAACAGAAGCAGCAGAAGCAGAAGAAGCAGAATCAGCAGAAGCAGAAGAAACAGTAGCAGAAGCAGAAGAAGGAGAAGCAGAAGCAGAAGAAACAAAAACAGAAGAAACAGAAGCAGAAGAAACAGAATCAGAGCATATGAAACAGAAGCCGAAGAAGCAGAACCAGAGGCAGCAGAAGCAGAAGCAGCAGAAGCAGAAGCAGAAGACTCAGAAGCAAATGAAGCAGAAGCAGATGAACAGAAGAAGAAGCAGAAGAAGCAGAAGCAGAGGTACAAGAAGCAGAAGCAGAAGCAGACAGAAGCAGATACAAACAGAAGCAGAAAAAGCAGAAAAAGCAGAAGCAAAAACAGAAGATCAGAAAGAGAAGAAGCAGAAGCTGAAGAAGAAGAAGCAGAACCAGAAGCAGAAGCAGAAACAGAAGCAGCAGAAACAGAAGCAGAAAAGCAGAAGCAGAAGAAGCAGAAGCAGAAGAAGCAGAATCAGAAGAAACAGAAACAGAAGTAGAAGAAGCAGAAGCAGAAGCAGACAGAAGCAGAAGCAGATACAGACAGAAGCAGAAGAAGCAGAAAAAGCAGAAGCAGAAGCAGAAGAAGCAGAAACAGAAGAAGCAGAAGCTGAAGAAAAAGAAGCAGAATCATAAGCTTCTGCTTCTTTTTCTTCTGCTTCTGCTGCTTATTCTTC